AATCAGTTGATTTCGATGATCAACAGTTTGTACTTATCGACAAGTGCCTTTGTAGCATGAGAGTGGCTTATTACAATCGCATCGCATACAGTTGCCTCCTTTTCCAGTTTTACACACTCCGACTGGTGGCACGTTGAATGATTCCTGAAAAAGATTAGCTGATGAAATTCATGGTACCGTCAACCCAAATGCATGCTGTGAACTTTGATCTGCACCAGGGGCGAAGATGCGTGTGAGTGGTGGATCGATTGCCATAGCCAATCACAGGATCCCCGAAAATACCGTGCGTGCTTGTCCACTGGTGATAGCAGGCAGCGTTAAGAGAACATAAAACCGTAGCGATCCGTCAATTTCAACATTTCTACGACCCCTCTCCCATAACCACCACCCTTTCAACTTCCACAAGTACATCCCCTCCCCGTTCGACTTTTTGACCATCGTCAACTTCTTACGACCCCCCTCCCAAAAGTCAAAAATAAATCTTCGTCTGGATCGAGCGCACGGGCGGTTGATCCTGGATGAGTAGTGAGGGAGGGATGAGAGGTTGAAATGGTCGGTCCTGAATGAATGTATACAGTCCAATTGCCTTCTGACGCTGACTACAACTGGGTATGCGACTCTGTGATCAAACCAAAAGATTTTTTGAAGAGAGTACTCAACAAGTACACTATGCGAGCATCACTCCATTCTTGGAACATATGTGATCGGTTTAATGGTTAACCGGATGAGAGCTCGAACTTGCGCTCTTGCTGTTTTTGAGAAATGCTCGAATTGTGTTCTCTAAAGAGCATTCATGGTCCTTTGGTCATCCGAGTCTTGCGTGATTCTGCGAAAACGAGGCGATTTCGATGATTTCTAGATTGTAGAATAGAATATAAAATAGAAAGAAAATAGAATACAAAATCTAAATGTTTTAGAATAAAGGATAGAAATTTTCTGGTGGCTGAATTCAGTGCTACCCCACTGTCACAACCCCAGTTGAGCAAGAACATTTTGCACCAGCTAGCACAAGCGCTAGGTTTCACCGGTCGGCGGAAATCAAAGAATGTCTGTTCGTGATCAGAATCAGCGGCTCAGTCGTCATTTCAGATGAAATTCTAACAGAAGCAATTTCCTGCTCCACTATGTGGTAAAGGTGGAACACTGCCAAGAAAACCAAGTACCAAAAAGTCAGTGGCTAAATTATCCAAGGCTCAAGGCTCCATTTCTTGGACTTATTTCAAGCCTTTTACAGGACTAATTTTTTGCCTTGCAGACACAGTTTAACCAGTCTGACTCCGCTCGCTATCGCACGCGGTCACATGGGCATCAATGAACTGAGTATTGCTCTGCTTTTGTATTGAGTAACATGCTGCTCTCAATGGACTAGACCTGACGGTATTGAAACGAGCCCGGTATAAAAACATTTGAATAAGGGCTTCGTATGTGAAGGCCGAGCTGCAGGACGGCCTGAAACTGGAAAAAGAAGCTAGAGAAATATTTGGGATTGCTGATGTTAAGACCTTAATCCTCAAAAAGGTCAGATGTGGATTGATGGGCGAGGCAGGGCAGTCAAAGAAGACAAAATACGCAGAGATCACGCCGTTCGAGAGAGCACGCCGATATCGATGTGGAATCGTTGCCCGGGGTGCTGTAGGCAGGCCCGTAAGGATTAGCGCCCTAACTGTGCAACTTTTGGACGGAGCTGGAGTGATCTAGGTAGGTAGGGACCTTTCAGTTTCCTTCGCGGTATCCTTCCCACAAGTCGGACTGATCCCAGGGTCTGCCCTTTGAGGAAGCGTGTGATAAAGCTACTAATTTCTAATAGTTCGCCAATACTAATAAACATCCACCACTAACAGGCCCCTACCTACCTAGATCAGGCCCCTACCTACCGCGAAGGAAACTGTAAGGCCCTTTCTAGAGCTGAGAAATTATACAATTGGATGGGCTGCTTATTATCAGCCTACAGCGGACATCTACCATGGCTTTGATGGACAACTCGTCTCCTTCTCTGAATTACGAGAATTCAGCAATCGATCGATCTAGTAGAGGGTAAATTTCAAAAATCTCGTAATCTGAAACATTTGAAAAAAACGGATAGCTCGTGTTGGCCTGATGCAAGAAGTGGAACGGAGATGTTTTTTTTGTTTTTTTTTCTTTTTTTGTTTTTTTTTTTCCACGGATGAGTTCGTCAGTCACGGTATGATGTGGCATTTACACATGCGCTCCAACGCCAGGGACCACGCCGTATGACGTACGCCCTTCTCTATGTACCTATCAGGTTGGGATAGATTGGATAATAAAGGATAAAGCATTTGCCGTTGATCAATCCCTTTTGGGATGCGGCACGCATTCTACTTCCATTTGTACATTCGCAGTGGCGTTTGAATGCGATGTGGCCTATACAATGACTTGCGGGGGCCAGCCGATGTACAAGTCAGTGTTTTTATCCTCCCAGACAAGTCTGGTACCAATTAACCGACCCCGGAGGGATGGAAGGCTTGGTTGGCCCGGGCGACTCACGACCCAGGATTTGATCCCCGGACCGCTCGCGTGGTAAGCGCGCCACTTGTCACTACACCACTTCCGCCCTTCGTATACGCATTTCATATTCGAATTGCCATTTCTCCGTGCCTTATTAATGCCAACATATATGTCACTTACTACTGTGATAACGCTGCTCATAAGCACAAGAAATACACCAATGATGACCGATAGGAAACGCATCTGAAAAAAATGCGTTAACATTCTTGATAGACTTTATTACTCAACGTGAATTCATTTGAAAAAGATTTCATATGATACTAGACGTAAAGCAAAAAGTACGGTAAAAGACACTAGGCCGAAGATTTACTCTTGATTGAGCTTAGGAAATTCAAATCTACAATAAGAAACTTAAAGCAGCGTTTTCCCGTTTCCCTGAAGCCTTTCCAAAATGCTAAACTCAATCTTTATTTTCAATAAAATAGAAAGCACTATTACTCTGCTGGACCAAGGGACTGTAATTTCGGATCACTTCCTGGCGCGCTTAAGGGTTTTGCTAGACATCCTCAAAGAAAGTGGAACAAAAATCCTTCATATTCTCGCCTTCCGACCAGAAATGCCTTAAGAGAGCTCATTGAGGGAGCATTTGTTTAAGTGAAAGTCAAAACATGCTGAAGGTAAGGAATAGTCAAAAAGACGAATAAATTTAGAGGGATTTTCGTTCCCCGTCCCCGGAGGCGAGGGTAAAATATTGCCCAGAGGCAAGTTCTGGTTCATCTTTATGAGAATCTAATAGGAGGCAGGAACTTCGAGTGAAACGAACATTCACTCTAAAAATTCTTCCCCCGTTTAAGCCTTAATCTCGCTTTTAACAAATAGGAGAATCTTCGCGCGATCAAAGACACTACCACAACAATCCCGTATCTTGCGATTTGCGTATCCGCCATTTTGCTATGAGGCTCCGTCGAATAATTGAAACTCCTAGAAGTGGAAGCACTGGAATGTTTAGCGGTGAACATCTCAGCTCGGATCGAAGACTTCCTAGCAGGACATGGGCGCTGCTCAAAAAGCTGGACAACAGGATGGTGTTTCGTAGATCGAGATAAATTTAAAAAATTTCGCCAATGGCCTTTGAAAGATTTACCAACAGGACATCGAACGAATGAAGGGCAGAGGCACAGTCAAAGCAAACAACCGGGCCAAAAAGTGAACGCAGCCTCATGATTGTTAAACAGATCGCTTTCGCAAGGGACTTTGCAGGTGTGATGAACACTCTGCATAAAATTTCAAAATCAATGAAACTGAACTCATGAAGTCTGCCCTCAACGCCGAAAAGTCAACGTAAGGCCACTACTTATTGGTGATCGGTGACGTAGTCAAACACCACTGTTCAACAATAATTTTTCTTCAAATTCACTTCAGAAGCAGGAAAGACTAGGTGTTTAACACATTCACGACAACGCCCCTTTTCCACTTTTCGGTCGCGTGGGACGGACGCGATTTTGTGGGCGCCGCCGCCTCACCACATAACCGCAGATTTTGTTTTGTAAATGAACAAAAACATGAATGTCACAAAATAATTTCTGCAATGTCCAATGCGTAAAGATTATCTAAACATATAACAGTAGGATTTCGATCAGAACGACAAATAGTGGTTACGAAAAGAGAGCATTTATTCACTTTCCCCGTGAAGGAATTTAAAAGCATTTTACACTCGATTACGAGGTTTGCCCACCTATCTGTCCATTCCTAGCGCCTGGCAAGCGATTATCAGTTGGCAGTCCCATATGGGCTGATATCGTCCCAGCTCAAATGGGCGGCCATTGGCGTGAATGTGTGAAGACTAAAAGTTGTGCGGGCATCTTCTGGGGCAATTTCTCGTGCATTCGCATCTCTAAGCTTATTCACCATTGACATCGTGGGGTGGATTTTTTATGCAATTTCCGTAACACTTAGGTTTACCTTGGATCTTTATGGAATCGTAAAATTATTGTGCGGCTTGGCACATTGCGAAGGAGGAACTCTGCTGTCACTGGTCTTAAAGATCTGCTTAGAAAGGTCCAGAACGTCGTTAAAGCAACGAAAGCAGTGATGAACTGAAGAACACAGGCCGCTGACTGTCCTACCTACAGAATGACTTACACCATTGTCAAAAGTAGAATAGAACAATCGGTACTTACAGTGTTAGCTTCGATTTGTGGAAAAAAGTCTAAGAATGGTTTGCTAGCGTGTGCAACACACCTCGGAAGACTTTTTACGACATCGTTGTTTACGGTATGCGCAAAGCTTACAATTAGACCTCTGCCAGGGCGCGCCAGGTAAAAGGTCAACGAGATGAGCTCGCTGCTGCCTGAAGATTCTGGAGGTGCACTCACAACTTGAGGAGTGCTATTCTCGCTTCGAAACTTTTTTAGAAAAGATCACCCATACGATCGACACTTATGATCAACTCGGAAGAACATTGTTTACTGAAACATCGACAAGAAGGTGACGGATCCGGAACGCCTCATTGGGATGGGATACCCGATACATTAAAGCTGCCTCAACAAGGATTAGGATAAAGGATAAAGCATTTGCCGTTGATCAATCCCTTTTTGGGATGCGGCACGCATTCTACTTCCATTTGTACATTCGTAGTGGCGTTTGAATGCGATGTGGCCTATACAATGACTTGCGGGGGCCAGCCGATGTACAAGTCAGTGTTTTTATCCTCCCAGACAAGTCCCAGTCCAGACAATTAACCGACCCCGGAAGGAGCAGCTTGGTTAGGCCTGGCGAAGCCACGATCAGGGATTCGGTCCCGTACTGCCGCGCAGTCTTGTGCCACTACACTACACCACTTCCACCCTTGCCTTAATAAAATAGTAGTCAAATCTGGAGGAGAAATATAGGATAGGATTGCTATACGTAAAAAAATCACTAAGATGATCTTTCAACGAGCCCCGGCTTTCTGTGGGGCGTACTTGACAATGTTTCACTTTGGCACAATTTTGTTCCTTCTTTCAGCGAAAAATGAGACCTCCTAACAATCCAATCATTCTATCCAAAAACGAGGGTCATATTGCGAGGGTCATAGACTTGGGACGCAATGTCGTAGTGTACGTCCAGAGTTTGCGCTCTCAGTACCTTGAGAAAGAGATCGCTAGAAACAAAATGAGTGCTGAGACCGAACGAATGTGCGTATAAAAGGGCAGCACTCAAGCGCTCAACAGTGCACCGACTGGTGCGACCTCAGCATGGCGGACCGCTCGGGATACATAAACTCCCGCTGCGAATAACCTGCTATACGACGTATTCCCTCGACGTAAGCAAACCAGCCCTTTTGGCACATCGGCTGGGACCGTATGCTGAATGTTGGGGAGGGGATGGTGTCCCCGACGGTGGACGGACAACTTCAACGCGGTCCTTAGAACCGCCACAATTTGGGCGCTACCTTAGAACTAAGCCTTAAAGAGAGGACGGGTCCGTCCCCTCTCCAAGGCTTAGTCCTGGGTGAGCAAACCAGCCCTTCTGGCGGAGCTGCTGGACCAGCTGCACCACTTGCGTCAGTACTCTCCTATCGTACCAACCGAGTTGAAGTAAACCGTCGACCGTTGGGGACCCCATCCCCTCCCCAACATTCAGCATACGGTCCCAGCCGAAACGCCAAAAGGGCTGGTTTGCTTACCTCCTCTCCCTTGTCCCCGTTGCTCTGTATCTTTCTGTCGTGAAGCAGTCGACCCTCAAAAAAAGCAGTTCTTCGATTTCAGCGTCTCTATGGTTCCTGTTATGATTAGTTTTTCCCACAGGCCGCTCTCTTCGCACCATTTGTTTCATTTTCAAGCGCAACAACGCAAATATTCGATCGCCTACGAATTTTCGGTATGGTATCGTACATAGCACTAAAAGCATGAAAGCATCACTGGTGATCCTTCTCGACGTGAACTCATCAACTTCTGGGCCCATCTACAGGGGTGGCCAAAAAAAAGAGACACTTTGCCCATGGCGCACATCATCGAACTTTTCGTCGCACAGGGTGCCGATGTTAATGAAAGTTTTACGGCGTAATATTCCTTAGGTGTTCCCCCGTAAACAGAAGCAGGCCCTCCTTCACTGCCCGCTGTCTTAGAATATGACGTCATCTGCCGCCACCGTCGAGCTCAACGAGGCTTACCGTAATCGCTCCGCCTGAAGCTGCTTCATAATTTCTTCAATGGATTAACTGTTGAATAGCTTCCTAGAGACATTAGCTGTGACTATGCAAAACCGCTTTTGACCAGCGTTTCAGGGACGTCGTAATGGTCTATGGTACCTCGACGACCTCGTTGAGCTCGTACCGTGAACCATGTTTCCGTGGGAAAATCTTCTGATGTCGTCGGTGTAGAAGGCTGTCATGTAACTTTAGATAGATTAGAATGTGCTCTTCAATACTAAGTTGGGGCAGTCGATTTGATTTAGCAAAGTGTGATTAATGCTGTCTGAAATGTGGAGTGAAGTGTCTCTTTTTTTGGCCACCCCTGTAGACATGGACTGCTTGCGGCGCCACGTGGCAATCGCCACCCCACGTTTGAAACTTCTGCCTAAACTAGGCTTGGTTTCTATCGTTTCTCATGAATAGTGCTTGCCAGACTGTTCAGAAAAGTGGTTCCAGATATTTCTAATGCGTTTGTAATATTGTAACTTCTGCAATTTTACGTGGTAATCAAATGATAATGAGTGATTCAAAAAGTTGCATTTGGACCAAAATGATGAGATGATAAAATATGTAAGTCGCTACCGCGGGTATGATCCGCGGATTAAATCCCAGTCAAATTCTGCGTATGTCAGCCAAATTTCTAAACATGAATGGCCGTTACCAAGAGTGACCGCTAGCACATGAGACACGTTGGTGTTCCTCTTTCAAAAATGTTCTAGCATGAAGGGTTCATTCGCTCTACATCGTCCAGTCCATTCCTCACATCAATAACATTATGTCAGCTTCAAAAATATTTTTGGGAAGAGGAGGAAACAATTGCAGCACAGAGACAATGTCAAGAGAGAGTAGTGTCAATGAAGCTTATCTGTGAAAGTGTCATTTTCAAGGAAAGATTTGAAGCAAAGCGAGGCACTAAAAACAGTTCCATCACTGACGTTATTTGGTAAGGCGGGGATGGTGGTTTTAAAAGAAATGTGTCATGTATAACAACAGCGAAAACTGTGTGAGTAATACTCGATGTTTTGGCGTAAGAAAGCCGCGATCAAAGGAATCTCTGAGGCAAAATAAGGAAATACAAAAATGCAAATAAGGAAGTATTGGGGTCGTCTTCTGCTTGCCAATTTTCGGTTGATATATGTCGTATAGGGAGGGGAAAAAGATCTATCAAAGGGAGGCTGGTAATTCTGTCACTTTTAGAGTCACCAGCTCTTGTATTTATTTCCAAGGCTAGTTTCGGATGGCTTGCCATACACTCGACTTCCATCGCGAACAATGGTAGAGGCGTTGAATTAAGGCAGGGATAGCCGAGTGGTTAAGAGGTTAGACTCATGTCTGCACCTCTG